CAGGAACAATGACTTGTGCCTTCATGCTCAAGGCAGAGTGTAATCTGCAAAATGTAAGAAGCAATTTCAAGAGATGCAAATGAAGAAGGAAAATGAGAGTCAAACTTGGTGAATCTTGTAAAAGCAGAGGAAAAATGGATAAAGAGTCTGTAAATAATACTGTAAAAATAAAATATACCTCCACATTTGTAACCCATGGGACGATAAGCAATGTTGCAGCGTTTAGGAATGGTCACAGCAACTTCTGGCTTGATTCCAGAACTCTTAGCTGTGTTAGAAAGCATAACAGCGCAGAGACATCTTGGATTCTGGCCTATTTTCCTCACCTGTTGGCAGCAACTGTCAGACACTTGAGCATTCAAATCTTGTGCTGCCATTGCACAAGGAGCCAACTTCCAGGCTTCACTGTCAGGGGTCTCCACATTCACCAGCTCCTTCTGCTACATTGAGCTCAGCAATGCCAAAAATAGCAAGAAACACCAAAAAGCAGATGCACTTCATTTCTTCAATATTGCAATGCATAAACACTTCTCACCTTTAAATTTTATAGTAAAACCAATCAACTAAAAACGTTTTTAATGAGTAATACATATGAAACCCACAAATCGTAGTGGATGTAGCACTAGAGAAAAGTGTTTTGTTTATTGCAGCACCTACTACTCCAATGGCGGTTAGTGCCTGCTAAAGCCATTACTGTAATTCCACTACTTTATCCTGAAGGGGCAAAAAGAACCTTTTCATGAGAAGCTGACACCATAGCATCTAACAAGTTCGACTTCTACCTACATATCCATTACCTCTCTCTCTAGAGTCAAAGGAGATCGCAATATGGGAATATTAGAATTTGAACACCAGACTTGCTGGATATTGTTCTTATGAATGACTGCATGTGCAAATTAAAACTCGGGGAATCAGATAATCAATGTTCCTTGTAAAGTCCTCCTGGCAACAATTCGTGTGAAGTTCATTGGCTTAATGAAAGAGTTCCTTACAAGATAAAGAGAATAAATGAATGGTATATGTCGACAGTTCTATTGCTTTTACTCCTAGTGTTAATCCAAAATTCTAAATTCTTTCTTTTCCTAATCGGCTAACCCTCATCTCTTTTTTTATTTTTTTAATCATTTCTTCCACAGAGCTAGCTACCCAAATCTTCCTCCTCACCAATATATAGGATATCGGTCTGTTGGCATGTTGTCCTGCTTTATAAATTTCAAATACACCAGATAAACATTGCTTGTAGTTAACCACTATTTACTAGTAAAAAGCCAGTGAACTGCACCCGAATCATTTCATTATCTGAAAATTTAGTTCAATGATTGATATATCATCACTTGATGTATCAATCGCTGTTCAATAAGCAAAGTTTGAATGTCCCTTCCCCGAATTTTAAAAAAAAAAAAAACCAGTGAATTCTTAGTGGACCACTTGCATGATTCACTTCATGGCAGAACCAAGCTGGTCTACTCTATTTGTTGAATCACCAGCTGTTTCTCTCTTGCAACTTGCCACTCCATAATCGTTTAGGATATGCGATCTTAGCTCACTTGAATATCGAAACATCCTAAAAGCCTCATTAGTTCAACAACATCATATAAAAGTCAATGATATCAGTTAGATTGTTCAACTCAAGTGACCCTCTCCATTATTGATCCTATTAACAGCATAAATTGGAGAAAATGGTTATCGAGCAACAAGCAAATGTTTTGCAAAGAAAACTAACCTTTTATTTAGTATTATTAAAGGAAACAACCTATACTTCCATTATTATTCAAGATCAACTGCAGTTTTATTTTTCACTCAAACAGCTGGATGTCACAGTGAAACTCATCAACTAGATTGACTAGCAACAAGAACAAACCATGGGAAGCACAGGACGACGAACAATGGGAGCATTCACACTTAAAGGAGAGGGAAAGCTGCAAAGAAATAAACAATAGCTTCATGAGAATGGAACTAACCACTAGCAGCATTATATAAAAGCAAGGGAGAAAAGGTGTAACCAAGAACACATTATGTAATATGCGAATTCTACCTCCACACTTGTGACCGACAGGACGAACAGCAATGTTGCAACGTTTTGGAATGGTCACGGCAACTTCTGGCTTGATTCCAGCGTTGTATGCTGTATGTGCAAACATAATAGCACAGAGGCAGCTTGGATTCTTGAGCTTTTTCTCCATTACATGCAGCAACGGTTGGAAACTGGAGCTTTCACATCTTGGGCTGCCTTTGTACAAGGTGCCAGCTTCTCAGCTTCCTTCTCAATGTTATGTTTCCCACATGGACCATAATCATCATGTCCTTCCACTCCATTGAACCAGCAATGGTCATTATCACAAGAAACGCTAGAATACAGATGTACTTCATTGGAGCTTCCATTTCTTCAACAAGTTGTGCTGAAAGAAAGATGCTTCTCAACAATTTATGCTGAAACAAATAGCTAAAAAATATCCAAATACATGTGAATTCCACCATTACAATGATGTGGAACTAAAGAAAAGTCTTTTATCAGCTGCAGCACCTACTATTCCAGAACATCGATTCAGAGTTACCTGACCATCAAAGGTCAACAATTACATCTTGTTTCTCTGGAATCTCTTCCAAACGACCTTATTAAACCCATCCACATTTAAACATTCATGGAAACCAGAATCAGAAATGCAAGCCGACATTGATACATCTATAAACAACTAAGGTATCATTTCAAGCTGAACACACAGCATTAGCTTATAAAAACCTAGTATATTGACTACCTTACCTTCTTCTATTCTGCCTTCATAGCATGTTTGTGGGCTGATAAGCTTGTGGTTTTTGGGTCTTTATTCCTGCTACTTTCTCATCTGTAACTCATTAAAACAATGTTCTAAGACTTCAATGCCTGCAGTAACCTCAATAAGCAACTTGTTTCCCAGTTCATTGTCGGTGAAATACAAAATCTAGCAATTTGTCAAACACTACTCACTGTTCTGAAACGTAGAGCTGATCTCCACCGACTTGATACCTGCACTGTCCCAACCCATTAAAATTAGATAATAAAGAAAATTTCTTCACCAGTTCTGTCAAAAACCCAAACAGATCTGGCAAACTACGAACTAAAAGTCTAACAAATATGTTCATTTCACATCTTTATGACAATAAACCCCCCTTTTCATCATGATCTCTCCTTCGTACGGAAAGAACACAAATGCCATTCCTTGAAATTACAAAGTTAAAATTTCAATGTGATCACATCCAGTAGAACATACTGATATCCTATATTCTCATTTTCTGTATAATCTCAGCTAGATTATACAACAATAATAACAACAAAATCAAAAGCCCAAGTGAAAATACAGTATCAAAGCAACTTTTCATACAAGAAAAAGATCCCCAGAAGAAACCAAAAACCCAAATGAAACATCAACAACAATTCTCGAAGTTCCAATCTGTATAGCCTTGTTCCATTATAATTCTGGAATCATAAGGGTTCCACGTTAGGCCGATGAAGACGGCGAGCGTGAAGAGGGAGTTCACGTTCACAACACTGTCCAGGGCGGTGACATGGATGCTGGTTGTCATGATCGGACGATGGGGAGTTTCAGTAGAAAGATCAGACGGCGGAGATCTCTCTGTTTCATTATGCTGAGGACGTTTTAGTTAGTTCGTTTAAGGTTGTGAAATTCACGGCCTTTTTTTGTATTTCATTTTCCCAGAAAATGCGTAGAAGAAAAGTAAAAGTTGAAGCAACAGCATTTCGGCTTTGGGAAAAAGGTACGCCGTTGCCGGGGATCGAACCCGGGTCACCCGCGTGACAGGCGGGAATACTTACCACTATACTACAACGACTTGGTTGGAAAAGCTGTTCAATTATATAATATATTTAGAAACTAGCAACACCAGAAGAACCAAGGCAAAATTAGGAATGTTCGATCAATTGGATAAATTTCAAACCGAATTTTTCAATCAAATTTAATTTGGCCGTTTAGTTAACCAAACAATAAATATATTTAAATTAAATTGTATTTTAAACTCTTAATTTCTTATATTTTAAATAAATTAAATAAAATTATCTAATAAAATATTCAAATATCAAATATTATGTTAAAAATTCTAAAAATTTATGAAATAAAATAATTTATTTTATATTTGAATTTTTTTATATTTTGATTAATTTGGTTAATTTGGTTTTCAAATCAAATTAATTGAAAATTAAATTTTATCTAAAATCTTTTTCGTTAATTAATAAAAATTAATTGATTCAATCAATTAATTCAATTAAATTCGATATATAAACACTCCAAAATAAGACAAAATGTAACAATAGAGTTGTTTAATGTTTAGTTGTTCATAGATTTTTGGTTGTTCTCAAAGGTGAAAAATATTGGTAAGATTAACATGAGATTTAGCTTGAATGATTCATTTGAATTCTCATAAGTTTGCAATTCGATCCCTGCACTTTTAAATTGACTGTTTTTTGTCAATAGTTATATTTTATGTCAAATGGAAATGAATGCTCGGTATTTTTCTTGTTCATTGTTGATAACTCATTTGGAAGGAAGGGTGGTGAAATTTAGGTTGTATTATGCAATGTTTTCAACTTACTCAAAAACATAGTGATCCATATGAACTTATGTATGGATTTGACTCTTTTTCAATAGCTTGTGATTTTCTTACACCAAAGAAAGTCCAATTTTTTATTCTCCACATGAATTACGTATGTAGTTGAGGCCATCATAACCAGTGCTTCTTCTTTTTTTTTTGGAGAGTTATGAAATTCAAGTATGCTATGTTGGATTTTTAACTTCTCAAAATCCAAATGCATTTGATTATAGTAGTTTAAGCTAGCAATGCCATTTTGAAAAGTCATTGTAGTTTAACTTCGGCTTTCTCCTTGGATGTTCCTGTGCAGCCCTCTTTTGTCTTGGATACAACATTCTTCTACTTCTGTTCTGATTCGGTAATAAGAACATTTGGTTCTAGTGGTATGATTCTCGCTTAGGGTGTGAGAGGTCCCGAGTTCAATTTTCGGAATGCCCCCATTTTTATGGTTTTCCCTTTGACTTTTATGGTAACCATTTATGCACAATAAGCAGAAGAGAAAATGCGAACAAACATCTCATGGCTATATTTTATGTCATCTCAGTTACACACGGTTAACATCCTAAAAAACAGTAGACTGCTTTGATATAAATAGCAGCTGCTTCAAATGAACTACAAGAATCAGTAACACAACCAAAACGATATAAAATTTAACTCGTACACATCAGTATTTTGCTACAACCAGAAGTTTTCCGTCATTAAGTATTCTATTTGTCATACCTTATTCTTTTCCTCTTCTCAGAAAATCTCAAGTGACAGTATATCGCGGAGGATTTTGTCGCATTCTCAACCTATTCTGGTATGCTGATGATTGTTTTGATATAACTTGATCCTTTTGATTCCCTGAGCTCTCAGTACTGTTTGAGTTCAGAATTGATGAACCATCTGTTGGATTGCCACATAACTTTGCTTTTGAATCAACTCCAAGATAATTAGTCAAGACCCTCTTCACTCCAAAGCCACGGCGGTGAGGCTTGCTGTTGTTGTTGGTCGTGTTGTTGTTGTTGTTCTCCTTGAGAAATGGAGTTCTCTCTCCCTTTGCAGGGCTGATCAGTGGTGCAGGTGAAAAACTTGGTGTGGTGATTGCTGTTTTGTAGGGACTGCTCGAGGCAGGCACAGAATATGGGATTGAAACCTTTTTGTGTGCAATTACACTAACTGTAGGAACCGATGCCAACTTTTCTGAATGCTTCGTTAAGTCATCTACATATAACAAATCATCAATGCGTGCCACAATGTTATATGCCAGGCTTTCCAGAACTCTTGAATAGCTTTCAAGAATGGACTTTCCGACATCCTGGAAGTTTAAAATAAGTTATAATTGAACAACAATTGGAGGGAGAATCAAGTAGCCTTTGGCAAAACTAGATATTTTCAGAAAAGGGATTCAAACCTTGTTGCACTGGATTTTGCTGGTATCCAAGGCAGTTTGAGTCAAACCAGGGAACCTTTGTTTCAAGCAAAGCAGGAGATTTTCGGCTCTTTCTGCTAGCAATTCTCTCTGGTCTCCATCAACCATTAGGTCTTTTACCATTTCCCATGATGACTTTGTAGTAGATTGGTTTGGATTGATTGGAGGCTTCGAGTGAAATTTCAAAAGATTAAAAGATACAAACTTTTCCCATGCTTTCTCAGCGGACAGCAACCAAGGAGGATTATACAGATTGAGAAAGTCCTTTTCAAATTTCACATGATTCTGAAATTTTTCTTCATTGTTTCCTTTTAATGCAACAAAAAATGATTCTGGACTACTTTAAAGACGACAATTACCTCAAGCTTACTTCCAGCTGGAAAATTTTGCCAAGAGGGTATCAATTCAACAATGTGGTCACTAACACTAACAAGCCACTCCATCTCTCTTTTCCACATGGATTTCTTCTCCTCATGTATAGGCTCTAATCTCCACAATTGCCCAAATATAGTAGCTACATATAGTATTTACAAATTTAATAAGTTCACAAAATAACAAAGTTAATTAAATTGGAACAAGAACCTTAAAAATCCATAAATTCAAAGAGAGAAAGAGAGAGAGAGAGAGCATGCCACAGAGATTGGTAATGGCATTTGAAATAGCCAAAGCTGTGCAAACCCCTTTTCCTGACCCTGACATGTCTTCACCAAGCAGCAATTTTGCAAACCTCTCCTCCATCATGTCAATCTCTACTTAAATTTCAAAAAAGAAAAAAGAAATAGACTTTTTTTGGCCAAAAAACAAATCCATGTGGGATTTATGGAATGACAGAAAGCTACCACTGCCTACCTAACCAAACATCAGAAAGCCAAAATACAAAATTTAAACTTAAAAACAACATTACTAACCATTAATCTTTGAACTCAGTTTTTTAAACTTGTCATCTTCATTACTAATCTTGTCTTCATCTCCATTGCCATCAGAAACATCTGAATTCTTTGACACTGTAGCAGGAGTAGTAGTAGTAGCAATAGCTCTCCTTATAGGCCAACCCAAAAGAGAAGGAGGTGAAGCTGAAGCAGACCCTGACCCTGACACTCTAGCCTTATTAACCTTAACTTTGTCAACCAAATTCCCTGAACTTGATCTACTGGAACTACTACTATTACTACCCTCTTTAGACTCACCACTATTACAACTACTCAACTCACTTGCAGACTCAGTCCAATCATCTTTCTTCTTCAACAAAGCCTCCATTTGTGGAAAGGGTACCAACTTAACCAACTACCCTTTTCCTTATCTCTGAAAAAACATACAAAAAAAAAAAAAAAGGCTAAGCCTTTGGGTTACCAAAGAAGACATTTGCTGGGTGGAGTTAATAGATTTGATTTTTGAACTTTCAGAAGAAGAAGATATGGGCCCGTGCCATTGGGGTAACGTCTCTCTTTGAAAAACTGGTTTTGGATCGTTTGTTTTGATGGATTTGTCTTTGTCTCTATTTTTAGCTTTCGGTCTCAGCTCTCCGAGTGGAGAATACGTTCAAAATATCGATAAAATATTGGAGGCCCGGTCAGTCGTCGGCTATTTTAGAGTGTGTCAATCCACCTGAACTGACGCTTTTACCCTGTCTCCAAATAGTAGTAAATTTTTTCCATTTTTTAGTGAGAAAAATTAAGTGTCACTAAAAGTTTAAATTTTTTTTTCAAAAATTAAAGTAGCCTATTTGAATTTTTCATGATATATAAAATTTTTAAAAGAAAATGTTAAAAAAATAAGTGATTAGAGTTCAATCAAGTGGAGTTTACATAAAATTAATTAAATGTGTTACTTCAATAATTCTATTTTTTTCTTATTTATGCATAAAAAAGATATTTACATTTTTATTTTATTTGGTGACGTATAAGGTAATATATTTTATTGAGGAAATTAATTTGTTGAACACATAGCTAGCACCATTGTGCTGTTGGCGTTCCACGTGCTTAATTAATAAGTTATACCTAAATTAGAAAATATGTTTTTTTTTTTACTCCAACATTATTAAGTTAATAATTCATCTGTGAAAAAGAAAGCTTTGTTAAAGAAAATAATGAAAAAAAAAAGTGAAATTAATGTAAACCGATGTATTAGGTTATAGTTGAGTTTGTGACCTTTAAAAGATGTTAAATTAATTTTTGTTTGCTCCAATCCAGCCCATGTTATTAATGAGTGGGACTCATTTGTTTATTCATTTTCTTTTTCAATCAATTTAGTCATTGAAAGTAGATTTTATAATTTAAAAAATGACATGAATATTATATAAAAATAAAAACATAAAAGTAATATAGTTTAAAATTTTAATAATAATTATATATAAATTTAATAAAATTAAAAATATATATTATATATTTTTATATCGATACGAATCATGATATATAATTTTATATAAAATATGATATAAATATATGAATTTTAATATTTTACATGATATAAATACATAAATCATCAAATATAATCGAAAGAGATAAAAAAAATTAATTTAGAGCAATTATCAAAATATGTCCAAATTAATAACCAAATAGTGAAACTTGTAGTTCAATCAAAGGTTTTGTTATATTTATTTTTGGAGTCACTTTCAATTAATCAATACACACATAGAATTAACTTTGTAAAAATTCTATTTTTATTATGTTACCAAAAAAAAACTCATTGAATAAATTTAATCTCAATTTGGAACGAAATGAAATTAGAAATGTTGAACAAAATAAGTCATAAGAATGATTCACACCATACAAAATGAAATTTCAATTTTGTTTAACTCATGAACCACTAAAAAATGAAAATTCAATTTTGTTTAACTCATGAACCACTAAAAATTCTAGAGGACTTTAACAAACAACTTACAATTAACCATACCACAAATATATAACTTAATAAGAAATTTTGTTCAGATTTAATTGCATGACAAAATTTTTTTATTTAAATACGTTTTAATTTTTAAAAATATTTATGTTTTTTTATATATTTTAGTTGAATAAATAATTAAATTTCTAAGATTTTAGTTTAATAAAATGAAAATGTAAATAATGATAAAATTAATACCATTAAAATTTTTATTTAATAACAAATATAAGTATGCGTGTGCCAAAGAGTTAGATTAGAATTTTCATCCTTCAAAATTATACGCAAAAAAATAAAGCTAAGCATGAATATAATTTTTATGCATTATTTCATTTTTTTCTGGCAATAAGTATTAAGTATATTATAAGTAAATATTTTATTTAATTTTATTTATACTCACAAAAGTTAGTCGAGTTACTAAGGAAATAAATTCTTTTTTTATCATCATATTCAATTCATGTAAAAAATATTTTAAAAAGAGTAAAATATTGAATGTACCAAATTAATATGTTAAATTATTTTTAAAAATAGTCTGAAAAAAAAACCTAAATAAAACAAAAAAATTTCCGTACTTTATTATTAGAATAATATACTGTAAAAGTCCAAAAGATACAATTGAAGAAAAACACAAATGTGAGTTAAAAAGGCTAAATTTTTCAAAAAAAAAAAAAGAATTTAAGCAAATGGGAATCTAATGTGGTCCTCCACAAAAATTTTACTTCTCAAATACCACCAGAATTTGATTGACAGCAGCAGCCCACCAATAATAGGTAATGCAAATTGCAAATGTAACTACCATTTATAACTGTTAATCTAAATACTTGACGGCTGTTAGGCAGTCAAGGGTAATAATGATTCAAATTATATTGGAATTGATTTAAGTTTTTGGATAATATATAATTAAATAAAATTTTAAAATTCGATCAAATGTAAATTGAATATGATTTTGAATTTTATTAATGTAGTTTAGTTTATTAATTTTTTAAATTTATTTTTTATATATTATTTTAATATAATTTTTAATATATTTAAATAAATTTAAATATAAAATAATTTTATTTTATAAAAATTTAAAATATATGTAAAATTAATAAAATTATATAATCTAATTCAGTATGATTTTTTTCAGATTTTTCATTTTTTGATTAAAAATTTTATTCAAATTAATATATATTTAATATTCCAATTTAATATGAATTAATTAAAATAATCAACTCAAACCAAATTAAATACTATAATTTTAAATTAAATTTATGTATTTTTTTATATTTTTCACCCTGCTAGCAACTATAAAATCAGAAAATAAAAGAGATGGAAAGTAATTTAACAGTTGTGAAAAATAAAAGAGATGATTTGTCTGCAAAGACTGAATTGCCGAGCACTAGGCATTAGCAGGAAGGGCTGAATTGTAAATAGGGTTTGTGGGATTTCAATTTGGGCATGACTTTGGTGATAATATAGCCGTTTAGAGCAAAAAAACATAAACTGCTATTGCCTTTTGGCTGTCCTATGTATCTATGTATGATATTCTCTTCTGTTTTTGGACCC